CTTTTCAATCGCCTTGGTCTTTGCTAACCACGCCTTATGGTAAGACGGAGTATAGTTAACAACTGTAGTGATGTGGGAGATAATGGTTTTCACCTTCAAAGATGGATCGTTGCTGACGAGTGGTAGGATTTCTTGACAAATGAGATTGTAATTAAGTTTTAGATGGTCCTGTGATTGAGTAGAACTGACACAGGTGTGGGTAGACATGGAACCTATGACCTAACAATCACCTCTTAATATGTATGATGCAGTGAGCTTGAACATACAATCAGGGTGGACACACTTGATCTGGTACCTTTCTGGGTTTACACGGTCCACCTTAAAATCGACCGAGTTGAGCATGTGGAATTTTTTTATGGCTCTGATACATTCTTCTCTGTTACGAAACTTGTCTTTCTCTTTTAAGTTTTCATCCGACTGCATATACGAATTGAAAAATAAATCAGAAGACAGTTCATCTCCGCCCATGTTGAAGTTTGTCATGTGCGGAGGTGGTGTGTAGATCTCGTTTGCAGGAATACCAAGTTTCCCATCGTCTTGGGAATCATCATTCACCATTTCGTCAAACTCTAACTCGTCATCTTCTTCTTCATCATCAACTGCATCTACCTCTGCTTGTTCGGTCTCCAAAGGATCAACCACTTGTGTCACCTGAGGCTCTCGCAGCATAATGTACAACTCAAAAGAGTCGTACCCAGAATACACATGATTGGAAAACATATTCTGAAGATCCTCGTCATCTTGGACCTCAACCTTATAAAATATTATTTGGTTGTTACCAAAAAAACTGGATTCTGATAAAATATTCGTGTCACCGGGTCTCGTCCAAATTTGGCTTCCAATCGTTTTTTTGAAGTACAAGAAATTGGCTTTCCCGTTTAAATGAAATCGGATGTTGTCCGTGTCTCTAAACAAAAATCCAGACGTGGGACAAATGTATGTCTCACCGTTGAAATGTGCACTGATGACATATTAGGGTGCAGAGGTCATTGTGTATGATTATTTGAAGGTTTAAATGTTTGAAGGTTGGAAGGTTTGAAGTTTATGAGTTATTCGAAAGTTTGAAGGTTTGATTGTTTGAAGGTTTGAAGGTTTGATTGTTTGAAGGTTTAAAGGTTGGAAGGTTTAAGAGATTAAGTGAATTAGTGTTTTGATAAATGTAAGACTAAATAGGTCATACTGAATTTGAATTAACTAAGGTTGTAACCTCTAAGGCTCCTCCCATCACGTCCAATAGTGTTACCAAGGCTGTCACCTAGCCTGCGCCTACTCTGCAATCCATGCCACCTCTTATTCGCCAATGGGGATGACGACACCTTTCATTTTTGTACTCTTTCACCAAGTCCAATGGCGCCTCCCTTCACGTCCAATAGTGTTACATGCATTCAGGGATGCCTTCTCCAAGGCTGCCATCTAACCTGCGCCTACTCTGCACCTACACTGTAACATGTAAGTCTCCTTCCATCACCTCCAATAGTGTTACATGCATTCATGCATGCCTTCTCCAAGGCTGTCACCTAGCCTGCGCCTACTCTGCAACTCATGCCACCTCTTATTCGCCAATGGGGATGGCGACACCTTTCATTTTTGTACTCTTTCGCCAAGTCCAATGACGCCTCCCTTCACGTCCAATAGTGTTACATGCATTCAGGGATGCCTTCTCCAAGGCTGCCACCTAGCCTGCGCCTACTCTGCACCTACACTGTAACCTGTAAGTCTCCTCCCATCACCTCCAATAGTGTTACATGCATTCAGGCATGCCTTCTCCAAGGCTGTCACCTAGCCTGCGCCTACTCTGTAACCCATGCCACCTCTTATTCGACAATGGGGATGGAGACACCTTTCATTTTTGTACTCTTTCGCCAAGTCCAATGGCGTCTCCCTTCATGTCCAATCGTGTTACATGCATGCAGAAATGCCTTCTCCAAGGATGCCACCTAGCCTGCGCCTACACTGCAAGAGTGACACTTATCATGCATGCATGCACCAGCTACCACCTCACTTACTCAATGAAATTTTTTTGCCTATAAATACAGAGCATAACATACTTCTCTCGCACCCACAATCATCTCACTCTCTGCTACAAACTCTTTCATAATCTCTTACAATTTCCAAGTCTTTCATAATCTCAGGCACTTTCAACAATGGCTCTTCTCACAATGGGCTCTTCTCACAAAGGCACAAGGGACAACATTGCAATATTTGTAAGTTTCTTTTATAGTTATACATTTTTTATACTTCTGGTAATGCTTTGTTTATCTTACTTAATCTTACACCTTTTACATTATTAACTCAGGATACGAAAAGATTCAGAATCCGGTCTCACAACTACCTTGCTCCCGACCTATTTATCGTACCATATCTGAAATACGCAGGTTTCAGACATGTTATAAAGATCTCCAACTTCACAATTGATTCAAAGTTCATACTTGCAATGTTGGAAAGGTGGAGACCAGAGACCCATACATTTCACCTGCCAATAGGTGAATGTACCGTCACGCTAGAGGACGTGTACATGTTACTGGGTCTTCCTGTCGACGGTAAGGCCGTTAACGGGTCGATTCAACAACCCAATTCTCTGTGTGAAGAATTGTTGGGCAGGGATATGGTTGAAGGTGGTGGTGCGAGAGGTCAGGGTATACTACTAACTGAGCTTAAAAATCATTATGCGACTTTGGAATTAAACAAAAATTCCTCCGAGTAAGACAGGATAATAAAAGCTAGAACTTATCTAATGATACTATTTGGAACCTTTTTATTTCCCGAAAGTACGAGAAATAGTGTAAATTTTATGTATTTAAATTTACTTAGAGACTTCGAAAAAACTAGAAAGTATAGTTGGAGTTCTGCTGTTTTAGCCCACCTATACAGTTCTTTGTGTAAAAATGCAATCAAGGAAAAATGTACATTTTATGGCTGTGCTTTTTTATTTCAAGTCTGAGGTTGGTGGAGGATGGAGTCCCTAAACCCCGTCAACAACAACACATTCATTTTCCCGTACGCAACAAAGTAAGTCATCAAGTTATATCATTTATTACTATTCATCTCTTCACCAAAGATATGATAAAAATAAAATATTTTTCATTTCCTTTAGGTATTGCGTGAGGGGTATGGATTACGGCAAGAATCCAAGATTCAATGTCGCACTATACCACAATCTATTGGATCACCTAGGCCCGAATGATGTACGTCGTACCTTTCAACTTTTCTACTTTTACATTATTTATATATTACGTTTTCATTAACCTGATTTAATTTTATGCGCAATTTGTCTGGAGACCATATTTGGGTTTGGGCCATGAACCAAACCCCGAGGATGTAGCAATTTGGAGCGCCAAGACTGCAATCATACGGTTCAATATTATGGAGATGCACCACAACGACCGTGTGAAGATGCAGTTCGGAATGCATCAAGAGATACCCAGTGATCCGACTTGTTTGTCCCCGTGGCATCTCAAAAGATCGACGCCCAATGGGGTCTTACCAACTGGAAAGACTTTGCTCCAGAATGATGTAAGATGTGGCAGAGGCGTCACCGACATGTCTTGCAATTCTCGGTTTTCCTCAATCATGGTAATATGCAACACACAGATCAGTATTTATCTTGGTACAGGTCGGTTAGTAACCCTGAAATGCACGTGTCTCATCTAAGATATTTGGTTGACCCACGAACACAATGGGCATAACCCTCATTTCCCCAACAACAAACCCAACACACATCAACCTCCCACCAACCCCTCAGACGAAACAGAACCACAAACACCCAACCACAATCGCCACCACAATACAATTACATCCAAATGCCCCACAACCAACCACAATCACCACCTCAGTACCAATACCCCCATATGCCTCACACCCAACCGCAATTCCAATCACAATACCAACACACCCGCATACCGCACACACAATTTCAGTCTTCTGTATATCCCAATATTGACCCCTTAACATCCAGCCTTAGCCCTGATCTGGGAATGTCGGAAGATTATGAACCAACCGACAAAACTTACCATCAACCACAGTATCACCAAACCACCCAACATCCTCAATACCAAACACCCGAAGATCCATTTCCTTTTTACCCCTCGTACTCAAACGATCAATGCTACAGACCAACCATGGAACCCACCCACCGCCTACACGACCAAACTTTGAGGGTATGAGTAACCGACTGTACCAAAGCGGATCTACTAGATATGTAGATCTAACTGATTTCATGGATCCGGAACGCATTGACTTCGCTGGGCCATCGACCCTACCACAGTAGGAAACGCGACGACACCCAGCACGAGAAAGGCGAGGACGGGGATGCGGAACTAAGGGTCATTACCGGGTTCCGGGGGACCACTGATTAATCTGTTTTTTTTATTTAATCTATTTTTTTATGTAATACTTATTAGTGTAATCATTTTTTGTAAATAAAAAGTTAATTTTGTTGATCCTGTATCGAATACGTAACGCACCGGATTGAAAAAAAAATGTAAAAATTGCCCTAGCAAATGCAATAAGGCGCCATCTCACTTGGCTTAGGGCAAGCCCTAAGCACCTAGGCGCCAAGTGAGATGGCGCCTCTCCTGAAAAATTAGGTGTATGCGCCAAGTGAAATGACTCCTCCTTTAAGGAGTTAACTGAAACATGGTTATTTGCGTAATTTTTTCCGAAACATGATTATTTACGAATTTCTTTTTAATACCTGATTATTCCAAAAAAAAAATTCTAAAAGCTACATCTACCTTATGGTCATGTCAAATAAATAAATAAAATCAATTAACACATTTTAAAAACTAAATACTAAAACAGGAATAAAAATTCAAGATAAAGAATAATTTAGAATCAACTTTAAAGTAAAAGAAAAGAAAAAGACAAAGTCAGTAACGGGAGAAGATTACAACTTAGAAGTCTTATATATAAGAGTAACCCTCAATTCCAATGTAACAAATCTTCAAAACCTTCGCCACTATCACCACTTTCTCTCTCTCTCTCTCTAAAACTGTAAGAGAATGAACACATTCGATACAGAGAAAGTAACCACCACAATAAACCAAAACGAAGAAGAAGATGAAGATGAACTATCTCCCATTGAAGAAGTCCGTTTAACGGTAACAAACACCGACGACCATACTCAACCCGTATGGACTTTCCGCATGTGGTTTCTCGGTCTCATTTCATGCTCAATCCTTTCCTTCCTCAACCAATTCTTCGCGTACCGAACCGAGCCTCTCATCATCACTCTCATCTCCGTTCAGGTCGCGACGCTTCCAATCGGTCACTTCATGGCGGCGATTCTACCGAAGACGAAGTTTACTCTCCCCGGGTTCGGGTCGAAAGTGATGTCGTTTAACCCGGGTCCGTTTAACATGAAGGAACATGTGTTGATTACTATATTTGCGAATGCGGGAAGTGCGTTCGGATCCGGGTCGCCGTATGCGGTTGGGATTGTGAATATTATTAAAGCGTTTTATGGAAGGAGTATTTCTTTTCATGCTGCTTGGCTTCTCATTATTACTACTCAGGTCAACTTTCTTTTTCCGAACACACTTTTTTCTCACCAATCATTTTTTTTTTGTTGTTTATAAATGTACCAAAATTATTATAAAATTATATCTAAAAAGTAAATATATTTAATTAAAAATTAGATTTTTTTTTATTTTTATAATATTTTTTGGGATATTTTATTTTGAAGGCGTTAATTAATATGCAAGGGATTAGCGTCAGAAACTATTATGAATTGAATGGTTAGAATTATTATATATTTTATGAGATACTTGATATATTAGCTGGTTGTATGGCAAAAAAAAATAAAAATATGTATATATATTGTTGGTTGTTTGTCCTTTTCATGGCGATGTCATGATTGAATCATCCTTACATCATTTGGATTCAAATTAGAAAATTAAATTAAAATTAAGTAAGTGTTAAATAATTAGTTAAGAAAGTACTATTCACGTTCAGTAGTATAATTCTATAAACAATATTAGAAATATTCTTTTTTTCAACACTCTCTAATTTTCACTTTTTCATTAGTTGAAATACACGTGAGCCCTACTGCTTTATATAAAATTCATTTTTAAAGTGAAAATTCCATATGTGTTTTATCTAATGAGTGTTGTAAAAAGCGTTGAAAAGAGAGTATTTTTAACACTCGTCTTCTATAAAAATCAAGTTGAAACAAAAGTCTCAATGACAAAAATTAATTCTTAGCATGAATTAATTTTCTAAATTTTAATAATTAAAAATGAATTTGAATATAAAGTGGTTCTTTGTTTTATATATATGTATATTTATTTCAAACTACATAAACAATAAATTTAAATTTAAATTATGTTTAGAGTCGAAAACAATAAACCAATATCTCAAATTAACATCAATTCTATAAAACAATCCAGTTTTGTGAACATAAAAAAATCAATATTTTACAGCTATAAAGTCAATTTTAACTCATTTAAAACCAAGCACACTGAAAGTTGCTTTCCAATTATCTCCTTTGTGTGTTTACAAATGCAGGACCAGTCTCTTTTTATTTTTTGGTTAAATTTCACTTCTACCTTCCTGGTTAAATTTGAGTTCTAATATTTTGATATAGATTTAGCAATCATTCGGAATAATTACTTGAAAATTTAATTATTATTTTAGCTCATCATTGTTTTGCTGAACATATTCCTTGAGTTAGTTTATATTTTAAAATTTGGGAATTGTTTTGTTGAACATATTCCTTGAGTTAGTTTATTTTCTAAAAATTGCGAATCATGAAAAAAAAAAAAATCCGATTTCTAATAGAATCTTATACTTACAAAAGCCTTTTGACCCCAAGTTGTAATATTAAGTATTGCTTAATCATTTGAGTGTATTTATTTTATAATAATATGTTTATCATATTTTATACTCAAGGAGATACTCATTTCGATTGCATGATGAATTTTCAGGTTCTGGGATATGGATGGGCTGGGTTGCTGAGGAAGTATGTGGTGGAGCCAGCCCATATGTGGTGGCCCAGCACCCTTGTTCAGGTCTCACTTTTCCGGTACGATATAGTAAACAATCATTTTAGTTTCTGATGATACAACAACTAAGCCTTATCTCACTAAGTGAGACCAATTTTCACTCTAAAACCATATTTTCATTCAAATCGTTAATCTCAAGATCTTTTTTAATAACTTTTCTTTGCATTAGTCTCTAATATGAAAACTATAAAAATATTTGATCAGCAAATTTATTAGTTTAGTGTCTAAAATATACTCTGCATCAAAGAGTATCATTTAACGTGTATTTCTTTAGTACGTAATAAGTCATTGAGTTGAAATAGAGATGATCATGCATGAATATAAATCTATAGAAATTATCTTAATAATTTTCCTCATATGTAGGCATTTAGTGAGGAAGAAATTATGGAGATAGATATATTAATGAATGCGTGTGGAATGGAATATATTTGTTGAAATAAGAACACTGAGATGGGCCAGCTGGGCCATATGTAACTCAGACTTCCAACACACAGCCAGAAGAACGTTGATGTCAAATATTTCAATTTGTTTTCATACGGAAAATATAAATATATGCAATCATCCATAAGTTATATAAGTCTCTATTAGATTTAGGATTGACCCGCAATTGGTAACGGCTTAATGGCTTTGTGGTCCACACTAAAGCATGTGCCCCCATGAGACTTGTTTCCTTTCATACTAATATTGAACTCTTTTTCTCACCTTAAGTCATTTGACTTTGATTGTGACAATTTAGCAACCCTTGTATGCAAATATAGGAGTTAGCTAGGATTGAGGACAGTCTTGTAGCCCTTATATGTTGGGTGTTACGAACTAACAGAATAGTAAATCAATATAGCAGTAAAAGAAACAGTTATGGAAATATGGGAAGAGCTTTATTGATTAGTATGGAAACAAGTACAGAGAGCAGAATGAATCAATCCCACAATGGGCCCAGAGCTATGCTCCTATAGGATCCTAGAGTATCCTATCCATTCCTTCTAGATCTAGCTACAATCTCGATGATTATTCCCTCTACTGACTGCTCCTTATATTGTGGAAACGTACTGCCCCCTCCTTCATGCCACCTCATGATTGGTAACTAACTCATCCTCTAATTCCCCTTTTTACCCCTTCTAGAATATACTTTCCAAACTCTGGGACCACTAGAGGTGTGGTGAATTAATTGTTCTGGTAACTGTAAATTATTGTCATTGTTTCTATCAATACTCCTTTCTTCAACTGCAACCTTGTCCTCAAGGTTGAATTGTGGAAATTGACTTTTTAGCATGACATAGTCTTCCCAGGTGGCTTCCTCTACTGTCCTCCCCTTCCAATGGATAAGCAATTGTTTCACCTCTTCACCTTGCTTCTGTACCTTCCTCACAGCCAGTACAGTTTCCGGTTCAAACACCTCTCCCTGCTCTCCTGCCATAAGGTCTGGCAGCTCTTCATTCTCGTGGTACTGTCCCACAGCTTTTTTCAACAATGATACGTGAAACACCGGATGAACTCTAGAACTTGTTGGCAGTTTCAATTTGTAGGCGACAGCTCCAATTCTCTCTGTAATAGGGTAAGGTCCATAGTATCTAGCAGCAAGTTTAGCATTAATTCGGGTTACCACAGAATTTTGCCTGTGTGCTCTCAACTTAACGAAGACCCACTCTCCTACTTCGAAACTCCTATCGCTTCTCTTCTTATCAGCCTGAGCCTTCATCCTATCTTGTGCTCGGTGTAAATGACTTCTCAACTGTCTGATTGCCTCATCCCTTTCTACTAAATCTCTCTGTACTGCCTCAACCCTTGTCTCTCCTTGAACCCATCTACCCATCACAGGAGGAAGTCTACCATAGACTAGTTCAAAAGGGGTGTGCTCTGTAGTAGTATGAAATGAAGTATTGAACCAATATTCAGCCCAATGTAACCATGACATCCAATTCTTGGGCTGATCAGAGATGAAGCATCTAAGGTACGTCTCTAAACACCGGTTAACTACTTCTGTCTGGCCATCGGACTCTGGGTGATAGGCCGAGCTCATCTTGAGTTGAGTTCCCTGGGCCTTAAACAATTCCCTCCAAAAATTGCTCATGAAGACGGGATCTCTATCACTCACTATAGACGTAGGTATCCCATGCAACCGGACTACTTCTTTGCTAAAAATCTCAGCCAAACTTCTAGCCGTATATGGATGCTTAAGAGGAATAAAGTGACAATATTTAGACAACCTGTCCACAACTACAAAAATAGCTTCATACCCTTTGGATTTTGGCAGGCCGGTGATGAAATCCATAGAAATATCTTCCCAAATGCGTTCCGGTATGGGTAGGGGTTGCAACAAACCTCCCGGAGAAGAAGCTAAATATTTTTGTCTTTGGCAAACATCACAGCTTCTTACAAATTCCTGCACTACTCCCTTCATTCCCACCCAATATACATTTGCTGCCAGCCTTCTATATGTCTTGTAGAACCCCGAATGCCCTCCTTGTGGGGTGCTATGGAACTCTTTCAGTAACATAGGAATCATGGTTGAATGTCTTGAAAGGACTAGTCTACCATCATACATTAAGACTCCATGTTTGTAGGTATATCCAGGTTTGGAAACCGGATCTTGTGACAGTTCAGCTATTATTTTCTGCAATTCCTCGTCATTCTGCACCTCCTCCTTCATTAATTGTGTCTGATCCCACCGCAGAAAAGACGTGATACTCCTCAACTCCATTCCCTCATGCATTCTAGACAAGGCATCAGCTCCTCTATTTAGTTTGCCTTGCTTATAGACAACCTCAAAATCATAACCAAGTAGCTTTGCAGCCCAGTTTTGCTGTTCTGCAGTAGATATTCTCTGCTGCAACAGTTGCTTCAGGCTCTTTTGGTCGGTAGAGACAATGAATTTCCTGCCAAGGAGGTAGGGTCTCCAGTGCTGTATAGCCAACCCCAATGCCATAAGTTCTTTCTCATATGCAGACTTAGACAGATTTCTTACTCCCAACGCCTTACTAAAGTAAGCTATCGGTCGTTTATCCTGCATTAGAATTGCCCCTATACCACTACCGGAAGCATCACATTCAATTATGAATGGTTTACAAAAATCAGGTAGAGCCAGGACAGGTGCTGTAGTGAGCTTCACCTTCAACTCTTCAAAAGCTCTCTGAGTTTCATTTCCCCATTTAAACCCATCTTTCTTTGTCAACTCTGTTAACGGCTTAGCTATCCTGCCATAGTGTTTGATAAATTTCCGGTAATATCCAGTCAGTCCTAAGAAGCCTCTAACTCCCTTCACATTCTTAGGTGTAGGCCATTGGGTCACACTGACTATCTTATTAGGATCCACAGCTACTCCCTCTTGGGATATGACATGCCCCAAATAGTCAATGGATTTCTGAACAAAGAGACACTTCTTCTTGTTGGCTACTAACCCATTGTCATCTAGCACTTGTAACACCATTTGCAAGTGCTGCAAATGGGACTCCCAATCAGTGCTGTATACTAAGATGTCGTCGAAGAAAACCAACACATATTTTCTAAGCATGGGTTTAAACACTTCATTCATGAGGCTTTGGAATGTGGAAGGTGCATTCATAAGGCCAAATGGCATGACGAGGAATTCATAGTGTCCCTCATGAGTACGAAATGCTGTCTTGTATACATCTTCTTCCTTGACCCTTACTTGATGATAACCAGATTTTAAATCCAATTTAGAAAAAAATCTAGCACCATGCAACTCATCTAACAACTCTTCTATAACAGGTATTGGAAATTTATCAGGAATGGTTACCCTGTTTAGTGCTCTATAATCTATGCACATACGCCACGAACTGTCCTTCTTCTTCACCAATATTACCGGACTAGAGAAAGAGCTTGTGCTGTTCCTGATTATTCCGGTAGCCAACATCTCTTTGATTTGCTTCTCAATTTCATCTTTATGATGGTGAGGATATCTATAGGGCCTTACATTCACCGGATTTGTCCCTTCCACTAAATTAATATCATGTTCCTTGCCTCTGATTGGAGGTAGTCCCTTAGGCTCTACGAACACCGACGCAAAATCGTGTAATAACTGACCCAGCCTCTCCTTCTGCAGTTGGGACAAATGGTCCTCTGGTGCTCCACTCCCCTGTTTCTCTATACTCCCTAACTTCCTTTCTCTCCACTGCTTGGGCTTTTCTAATATACTCTGCAGAGCCACCATGGACTCATCGCTGCTCCCTAAGCCTTGTAATGTAACCCACTCCTTATTACTCCAAAAGCTCATGAGTTGTTTCTTCCAATTCATAATCATATCTCCAAGTGTGTTCAGCCACTCTATTCCCAACACAACATCAATTCCCCCTAATTCAAACAGATGCATATCTGCTTGAATTCCAAAATTCCTGATCTTCAATTGCACCTCTCTGCAAACTCCTTGAGTCATGGTTTGAAAACCATCACCCAACTTGATTCTCATCTGTGATGTCTTCTCCATGGGCCAATCCATCTTGCTTACCAACTTCTGAGAAATGAAGTTATGCGTCGCCCCGCTATCTACCAACACAAGCACCGGAACTCCTTTGATCTCTCCTTGGAAACGTATAACTTGGGGAGTGTGATTAGTCATCTGATCCAAATGCATCAGGCTCATCTCTCCCTCCTCTTCGTCGTCCGCCTCATTCACTTCGATTGCCAGAACTTGGCCCTCTATCTCCTCCGTATCACTGTCATCGACAAGAAGGATCCGAAGGTGTTTATCGGGGCATTGATGTGTAGGAGAGAAAGGCCCCTTACATTTGAAGCAAAGCCCCTTCTGTTTTCTATCCATCAATTCCTGATAGGATAAATGTTGAAACCCACGTTCACGAGGCCCATTCCTCCTCTTATCTCCATGGGCTACTCTTTCATCTCTAGGCCCAATAGGATTGCTTTTAGAACCCCCATTCACTCCACCTTCTCTATTTTTTATTAAAACCCAATCTGAATTTCTTCGACCCGCTCCATGAGTTCCGGGTCGGTGTGACCCGCTTCCAAACCTGGTCCCTCTCCTACTAGACGACCCATTTTCTCCATCGACCTCTTTCTCTACCGCACGCGTCACCTGTAACAACCTTGTACGACTCATTTCCCCCATGGCTACGAAGCTGCGAACTCGTCCTCTAATCTCCGCCTTCAACCCATGAAGAAAATATCCCAAAAATTGCTTGTCGGGCAATTTCGGAATCTGAGCCATGAGATATTCAAATTCGGTGATATATTCTTCCACCGTTCCACTCTGTTTAAGCCCTGTTAATTGTTCATACACGTCACCGTCGCCGTAACCACCATATCTGGCCAACAGTGATTCCTTCAACTTCTCCCACGACAAGTCTTCATCTTCGCCGACCAGAGAATTGAAGAAATGAATTGTAGCTCCCTCCATACATAACTGAGCTAGATTCACTTTCAACTCCGGTAGCGTCCCCTGAACACGGAAATACATTTCAGCTCGTGAAATCCACCCCGCAGGATCTTCGCCGTTGAAGGACGGTAGCTCTACCTTTTTGATGGATTGACGAAACTCTGTCAATGCATCACGACTGAGGTTGTACAGCCCCGATCCGGAGGAATTCCCCTTCCCATTTGCACTACCTTCTCCTTCCAGCACCGTCTTCCCTAGACACCGTTCAAACATGGCCATGAGACTCTCATGGCTAGTCTTCACCGCATTCTGAACGTCTATCAACGTCGACTTCACCTCCGACATCTCTCCTTCTAACGCCGCTACCTTCGCATCCATCTTAACCTTTTTCGGGGGCATTCACTGGTTTCGGGAATGACAATCCGGTAGGTCGGACCAGTTTGTTACGAACTAACAGAATAGTAAATCAATATAGCAGTAAAAGAAACAGTTATGGAAATATGGGAAGAGCTTTATTGATTAGTATGGAAACAAGTACAGAGAGCAGAATGAATCAATCCCACAATGGGCCCAGAGCTATGCTCCTATAGGATCCTAGAGTATCCTATCCATTCCTTCTAGATCTAGCTACAATCTCGATGATTATTCCCTCTACTGACTGCTCCTTATATTGTGGAAACGTACTGCCCCCTCCTTCATGCCACCTCATGATTGGTAACTAACTCATCCTCTAATTCCCCTTTTTACCCCTTCTAGAATATACTTTCCAAACTCTGGGACCACTAGAGGTGTGGTGAATTAATTGTTCTGGTAACTGTAAATTATTGTCATTGTTTCTATCATTGGGAGAGATTAATGAAACTAAAATTAGCAACATTATAATTACTTGTGTTTAAAAAGGGATGCAACAGGGCTAAACATGGGCATTGAGTAATTGATAATGCATCATTTCATTACATTGAAAAAGTGAGTTAAACACTTTTTGTCCTTAAGGGTGTAATTGGCAGTAACATAGTCTTAAAACAAGCAAATAAAATGCATTAAAAAGTATGTTAAAACTAATTTGAAATCAATTTGGTTCTTAAATTAATAAACTTACTTATGTGGACGGCACGTGAAGTGCCATGTAACATGCCACATAGGATATGACGCTTATGTGGCTTATTACCAGCTAACATTACCTCTTTTCTGCTTTTTTTCTTTGACTCGTCACTTAATTACCTCTTTTGTGCTAAATTCACATGATTTTGCATGTGACAGTTAGTTGAATAATATACAACTCATTTCATAACAAAGGTGATGACAATATAATATTTCACACAAAATTAACCAAATTGTATGCAGACTCTAAATTAATGCTGGGATTATCTATACATATTAACACTATGCAAAAACTGTTGTTGGAATGCAGAGCTTTGCATGAGAAAGATAACGACCACCACCGAATGTCAAGGGCAAAGTTTTTCTTTATTGCACTAGTATGCAGTTTTTCATGGTATGTGATCCCAGGATACTTGTTCACAACACTCACAAGCATATCATGGGTTTGTTGGGTATTCTCCAAGTCGGTCACAGCTCAGCAAATAGGCTCAGGCATGAAAGGCCTTGGAGTTGGGGCCCTTACACTTGATTGGTCTGCGGTGGCATCATTCTTGTTCAGCCCTCTTATCTCACCATTCTTTGCCATTGTCAATGTTTTTGTGGGCTATGCATTAATAGTCTATACTGTGATTCCCATTGCATATTGGGGCCTAGATGTTTACAATGCTAAAAGGTTTCCAATTTTCTCCTCTCACCTTTTCACTGCTGAAGGTCAAAAATACAACATATCTGCTATTGTCAATGACAAGTTTGAGCTAGATGTTGCAAAGTATACAGAGCAAGGTAGAATTCATCTAAGTGTGTTTTTTGCTCTCACTTACGGCTTTGGATTTGCAACCATAGCATCCACCCTTTCACATGTTGCTTGCTTCTATGGAAGGTAGTAATTCTATCCAAATTATTTAGAATTGATGTTTTATTTCTTACTTAGTTTAGAACATGTTTAGGTTGACTTATTTGAGTTTATCTCTTGAAATAAGTCTTTTTGAGACAACTCTCTTAAGAGTTCATATGCAACATTCTAAGATGTTTACACTATGACATAGTTGAACATGAGAAACTAAATTACTTTACCTTACAGCTTATATGTCATTCAAAAGGTAACAATTTGTTTGATGTAAAACTGAATATGCAGGGAAATTATGGAGCGGTATCAAGCTTCTTCAAAGGGTAAAGAAGATATCCACACAAGATTGATGAAAAGGTACAAAGACATTCCTTCTTGGTGGTTTTACGCGTTGTTGGCTGTGACTCTTGCTGTTTCTCTCGCGCTATGCATCTTTCTCAATGACCAAATTCAGATGCCTTGGTGGGGACTTATCTTTGCCGGAGCTTTAGCTTTTGTGTTTACTCTCCCTATTAGCATCATCACTGCCACCACAAACCAGGTTAAGATCTGAAACTTTTGCTTACTATTATATGCATTATCTAACTCTACCTTGTGCTGAAATTTCGTTTTCATTAAAAGAATAGTGCCAAAGATCAAGCTCCTCCTAGCTATTGTCAATAAGAGCTCTTATTGTTTCATTTGCTAACTAATCAAATATCTTAAGCTATTATATTAAGTCATAAAATTGGTATATATGTAAAAAATGATATGAATATGTACATGTGCATTTTAACTGAACCGTTTTCTTTCTGAATACAGACACCAGGGTTGAATATCATCACTGAGTATGTCTTTGGTTTGATTTATCCTGGAAGACCAATAGCAAATGTATGCTTCAAAACCTATGGTTACATTAGCATGGCACAAGCAGTCTCCTTCCTTAGTGATTTCAAGCTTGGACACTACATGAAAATCCCTCCAAGATCAATGTTCTTAGTTCAGGTAATTATGGTTCCACTCATCTTCCCACAAATTTTGACACCTAAAGCAATTTTGAACACTTATAGTCTTGTTCTGATGCATTCAATTTGTTCATACATGTGTAGTTCATAGGAACACTGCTTGCAGGAACCATCAACATCGGGGTAGCATGGTGGTTGCTAAACTCTATTGAGAATATATGTCATGATGATCTCCTTCCAGAAGGTAGTCCTTGGACATGCCCAGGTGACCGTGTTTTCTTCGATGCTTCGGTTATTTGGGGTCTGGTAGGACCAAAAAGGATATTTGGTTCTAAAGGAAACTACAGTGTAATGAATTGGTTTTTCCTTGGAGGTGCACTAGGACCAATAATTATTTGGCTATTGCATAAAGCCTTTCCTAAACAATCATGGATTCCTTTGATTAACCTTCCAGTTCTCCTTGGAGCTACCGGATCGATGCCACCAGCAACACCATTGAACTACAATGCTTGGATTTTCTTCGGAACAGTTTTCAACTTCTTTGTGTTCCGTTACAGAAAGAAATGGTGGCAGAGGTACAACTATGTTCTATCAGCAGCACTTGATACAGGAGTTGCTTTTATGACTGTTTTGCTTTACTTTTCACTGAGTTTGGAAAATAGAAGTATTACTTGGTGGGGAACCAATGGTGAACATTGTCCATTGGCATCTTGTCCGACTGCAAAAGGCATATCGGCTCCTGGTTGCCCACCAAACTTGTGATTCTATGTCATTTTAATGGAAAAACATGTATTAAGAAATGGAATATGTAATTCATAAAACTCTGTTTGCATGTAAATAGTTAGTGTTACACGGTGGTACCATTGAGGTCTAACGCAAATAATTATACACAAAGTGTGTGGTGTAGACCTCAGGGTACCATGTGATTTCGTATTAGTAAAAAAAAAATCACTGTTGTATGGTTTAATTATATTTGAGGTATTAAGCAGGAATACTCATTTTATTATTCAAAGTAATGAAGCAAAGATTGGATAAAAAAAGATAGTCTTCCTACTCAATTTTGCGAGAGATGGAAAAAGCCTTTTTTTACACATGACTTGTGTGTAACATTTTTTGTAGTATTAAAACTGAGTGAGTTTAAACAAAGTTATATGTTGCCAAATGATATGAGAAGGTGGATTATACATATTGAAATCTCAGAAATAGAAAATATAAACTCAGATAGAGATGAAGTTAGAAAATATAAACTCAGATAGAGATGAATAAATGAGAAAATGATGTATTTTTGTTAGAATATCAACACATGAGAGGAGTCCAAGTTAAATACTACGATGAGCAGTTTTATCTTTTTAACGTGTGACTCCAAACATTGTCATGCCCTTTAAGAGTTATTGGTTTACGACAATTTTCACTCTATCAGATGATAATTGATGAGAGCTTAATCCAAAAGACTAGTCCATTAGATGGAAGAGTCTCATGGCTTATATACCATATTGAGCTCTTTCATCTATTCAATTCAACGACTTTTACTCTACCGACAATGACCCAATGACAACCCTCTCTTTTTAGAACACCTTGATTCAGTATGTAGGTATTCCTTTCAACGAAAACATCTATTGTTGTCTAGAATTTAAGCCAATGATGAGAGTTCAATCCAAAAGACTAGTCTATTAGGTGGGAGAACTTCATGACTTGTTTCAATAAAAATTAGAAGAGTTCTAGTTTCATCTGTTAAACATTTCATTTTTTTTCTTCAATCTTTTTAAATGAATTATCTTGTATTTATTAGTTTTTACATGGTATCAGTGGTAAGTATTGATCCTTACCCAATTTTTTTGTGTTAATCTTTTTCATATTCCTAAATTATTATTCTTGTCTCATTTTTTTATGGTCCTTGTTGCTATCCCCTTAACCTTATATTCTTGTTCATCTTTTCCATCATGAGAGACTACCAATACATGATTGATATTCTCATTATGCTCCCTAGTGATAACTCCGGGTTCGCCCTCTCACTCCTCCTCTATCAAATGATAATTATCACTCATGGTCCCAATTGATGTTGGGTTCTTTCCACTAATTATGATGTTATTCAACTACTTTGTTTCAATCTTTAAATAAAATAACACACATGTCCCTTAAATTGCCTAATCGTGCTTTTGATTTATGTCAATTATTCTAGTTTAGTTTACTTTTCAACTGATTACTATTTTATTGATGTTCATTTTATGTTTAATTTTTATTTTTTCAATCTGATTACAAATGTGTGTGATTGCATCTCTACTCTAAGGAGAGCTATATACACATTAATTTTTTAGAGTTCTCAACCTTAGAAATTTCAAGAGTATTCTAGAAAATATTACAACCATACAAAATATCTAGACACTCCAAACACTACAAGATTTCTCTAGAAATATTATCCAAAATTACTTAAATCTAAAATAATTAAACCCAAAATACAAATAATAATTAGGCCCAAATAAAGTTTATAATTTCAACATCCCTCCTTAAACTTGATTTGTGACTCCAAACATATTCCGTAGCTTCACGAAAGTTTCCAACTTCAGTGGTTTGGTGAAAATATCGACAACTTGATCTTGAGACATTACATACTTCAACCTCACCTCCTTCTTCTCAATACGTTCTCTTATAAAGTAGTAACGTGTGTCGAAGTGCTTACTTCTTTCATGAAAGATTAGATTCTTTGCCAAAGCAAATGTTAATTTATTGTCAACACATGTTTCCATAGGTTCTTCTTGTGGCATTTTTAACTCTTTCAACAAGTTCCTTAGTCAAATTGCATGACAAACGCATGACGTGGCGGCGACATACCTGTCTTTAAAAGTTGGCAGTGTGACAATTGGTTGTTACGCATGACGTGGCGGCGACATACCTGTCTTTAAAAGTTGGCAGTGTGACAATTGGTTGTTTCTCTGACATCCAAGTGAAATCAGTATCTCCCATAAAGAACATAAAACCAACAGTGCTATTTCTATCATCCAAGTATCCACTCAAATCGTTATCACTATAGCACACAATCTCATAATTGTTAGAAGAGTAATAGTGCAAGCGAAAGTTTGTTGTACCTTTTATGTGTCAAAGGATTCTCTTTGCCACCTTAAAGTGAGTTGTTGTTGGAGTTTCCATGTAGCGACTTACGACTCCTACGACATAGAGAATATCCGGTCTTGTAATTGTCAACTAACGTAGACTTCTAATCAAACTTTTGTAAAGAGTTGGATCCACATTCTCTTTGTTTTCATGCTTACTCAACTTGCTGCCACATTCCATCGGGGTGCCAACTGGATTGCCATCATCCATCTTAAACTTCTTAAGGACTTCTTTGGCATAACCTTCTTGGATGATGAAAATTCCTCTGTCTTCTTGCTTTACTTTGATGCCAAGATAATATGTCTTGAGCCCCATATCCGTCATCTCAAATTCATTTGACTTGTCTTTCTTGAACTCTTCAAACATGCTTCAATTTTTCCCTATGAATATCAAGTCATCTACATACAAGCACACAATCAAAATATCTCAATTTTATGCTTTAATATAGAGTGCATGCTCATATGAATACTTGATGAAGTTCTTGTCTTGAAAGTACTTGTCGATTTGAACATTCCAAGCTCTCGGTGCTTGCTTGAGTCCGTAAAACGCCTTCTTCAACTTCAATACTTTTTCTTCTTTCCCTTTTACTTTATAGCCCCGGGGTTGTTCGATATAAACTTCTTTTTCGATAAAAACATTCAAGAAGGTTGACTTCATATCCATTTGATAGATCTTTCATTCATTTTGGGCTGCCAAAGAAATGATTAGACTAATAGTTTCAAGACGAGAAACGAGAGCAAATACCCCATCATAGTCAATTCCTTGTCTTTGACTATAGCCTTTCGCCACCAATTTTGCTTTGTATCTCTCCATGTCTCCTTTTGCATTCTTCTTCATCTTGTACACCCATTTTACTCCAACTGCTTCATGTCATCTTAGAAGTGTAGTAAGTACCCACATATCACTCTTCATGATAAACTTGATTTATTTCTCCAAGGTGTCTCTCCACTTTATGTTTTCAACCGCTTCTTGATAGATTAGAGGCTCGCAATCACTAAAAAGACAAAAGAGGTTAATATCGTTTTGGTTTTCAGTTATCTCATAAAGCTCTTCAATGCTCCTTAGTCACAATGTCCTCTCACTTGAACTTGTTTCATCCAACCTTGGTGTCAGTGAGGCAGGTGGTGTAATATGTTCCTCTATTATTGGTTGTTCCATTTCCTCTTCTTCTTCAAAGTAAGGAAGAAAATCATACATGTCTTCTTGAACACTACAATCCCAATATATTTCTTCGTCGAACTCCACATCACGACTTATGAGGATCTTTTTAATATTTGGATTATAGAGTGTTATTATAGTAAAGAGGCAAGTAAAAGTAAGTATTTTTAGTTTTGTTTTATCGTCTCCACATGGATTAGCGCAAGAGAAAGAACGCCATTTAACAATCTCTGCAGTTATGAGCTTGGGATAAAATGGGTTGGTTTGTATAGAAAAGAAAATACATGAACAGAAAATAAATACATTCTTTAGAGAGGAGAAACTTATTAGGCATGAATTTAAACTACTTATCACAAACTCAAATCTATCGATCAATTGTACTCAACATGCAATATTCGTCAAAATCATCACGTATCTCTCACATCGGTGTTCATTTCTACAACACATACGAGACATATCACAACTAAGGTAATGTCTAACCCAAAGTTGCTAGAACAACCGTATTCTCGCATCGGTGATGTCTTGCGCGAAACAACAACACGAAAGCATTAAGCTTCGATACCTACACTGATTATTAGCTCTAAGTCTATCTCTAGAATCTAGAAACTAATAGATTTCCTTCCCTAATCAAGATTCGTGAGGTCTATTTCTATAACAACACAAATCTAAACATAAATGCAAAAAGATCAAGGAAAGCATCGATAATAATTTGTAAATCATATTTTATACAACACCATGATCAATACATATACATATGTTCAGATTAAGCATAAAATAAAACCCAACAAATAGAGAAATACATAGATAAGAAAAGAAGAAAAACCAAACATCTCTCAGGTTGTCAGCGCCGATTGATGAGAAATCCAACTCCGAATCATCCATATACAAGCTCCATTTTTATTTTCTATCTTCTCTCATCAAAATAATGAAGGTGATGGTGTTGGGACTCCAAAATACCTAACCCATACCTAAAAAATGTGTTTTTAGTCCTAAATACATGTTTCTATCCAGAAGGCACCACCCGACACTCAAAATAACATTTTTAGTGCATTTTCACGCCTCTGGGGCGCCCCGAGCTCTCCTAAGTAATTAAGATACTTAAAAGATAAATTTTGATGGAAAAAATGAGAATTTTGGGTGTTGGAATGAGAGAAATCGTAACTAGAAAACTTGCAGTTTTTTCCTCTGCTATCGCAGGGTAACCGGTTACCCAGTTATGGTAACCGGTTACCATATAAAAAGTTGGAAAACAGAGGCTATTGACTTTGCAGTAATCGGTTATCATAAGTGGGTAACTGGTTACCACGAGGAATTTTAGAAAAACAAAGTTACTGACTTGCAGTAACCGGTTACCATAACTGGGTAACCAGTTACCACTATAGCTGGCAAAATTTTTAGAAAACTTTGAAAATCAATAACTTTTACCTCGGGTGTCCATTTGACGCACCGTTTGGATCATTGGAAATCTAAAATAATTTCCTATCTTTTAAAAACAA